CGGGGGGGGGGGGGGGGGGTATGGATATTTTCTGGAATCACACAATTTGTTTCAGAAAGAAGGTATGGGGGGTAAACAGAGTTGTCACTAGGATTTCAAGTTGAAGGGTAAATACAACAAACAGAATCAAACAGTCAGGGGTTTCGTTTGGTTCTATTTTTCTTTTATTTTCCTTTGAAAGTAGCCCGGGGGCCATGTTCATGGTAGCCTGGGAAATCCCCGGCCCCCAACTCTTAATGACAGCCCTGGGTAAATAATGTTGCATATAATAAGAATTCTTTGGATCTCTCCAAATTTTAGGTGTGTAGTCTTGGTTTTTATACAGTTTGCTAACCTTAGATACTTTTTCTCTCCCACAGGTTTTGGGAACAAGGCGACTGATGCACATCAATCATGACGACTTTGAAAAGGTCTTTATTCTTGTTTTTCTTTTCCTTTTTTGTGCTATATCTCTGTTTATTAACCCTTTAAGTCCCAGTGGTGACTAACATCAATTTTCTCCTAACGATATCCATACAATGTCAAGAGATTAAGTTATGAGAATAAATAAAAATAAATGATCACCTAAGAGAAAATACTTTGATCTTTTATCAAATTCTCTTAACTCATTCATGAAGGAAATGTATGGAGATCAGTTTGGAGAATTTGTATGTGGATATTGGGGCTTAAGGGGTTAATGTGGAAGGGAAGGGATATGTATCATAGGGATATGTATCATAGTTTATAGTGGTGTCTGTCTTGAAAGGGGCTTGACTGTGTTATAGCCATCATTGTGATCAGTACCATCATTATTAACCCTTTAAGCCCCAATATCCACATACAAATTCTCCAAACTGATCTCCAAACGTTTCCTTAAGAATGTGTTGAGAGAATTTGATAAATGATCAAGACATTTTCTCTTTGGTGATCATTTTATTACTCTTCATGACCTAATCTCTTGACAATGTATGGATATCATTAGGAGAAAATGGATTTTGGTCACTCTCAGGGCGTAAAAAGGTTAAAAGCCAAAATATTTGAAGTAGTTCTTTACTTTTCAATGCACAGATCATGGTTGCTTGCTTTGAAGTGTTCACTACATGGGATGATGAGTACGAAAAACTGCAAACATTGTTGAGAGACATAGTGAAGAAGAAGAGAGAGGAGAGTCTGAAGATGGTTTGGAGGGTAAACCCTGCCCACAAGAGACTTCAAGGAAGACTTGATCAAATGCGGAAGTAAGCCTTGTTCATCATTTCACTAGTGTCCAGTGGCCACTGTGAAAAGTTGTCAAAAAATTCAAAGTTTTAGTTTTCAAAATCGAACAAATTATACAGCACCATGTAAAAGTTCTGTCAAAGTGAAAGTTCATTTTTTTGGTGACAACATAGGGTTCCATCCACAGAATTAATAGACTGCTTAGCGGGTGCCTTTTCTCTTAAAATCTGTCCAGTTCTTATCCCAACCAGTGCAATTGCAAATAAAAACATCACAATAAGGGATTTTTAGAATGAGACGAGAAAAGACGGGCCTCTTATGTTTTCTTCTCGGGCTTACGCCCTTGTTTATTGTGACTTGTGTTTTGGCTACTTGCGTGCATCGGTTACTCATGGACTAACTTTGCAAAAAAAATAAGAGACTGCTTGCAGTCTGCAGAATTAAAAGTAAGAGTGTCAACTGACATTATCCTGCAATATAACTTGGCCTAGGAGTTAGAGAGTTTATTTATCAATAAAATACAAAAGAAATGTTATAAATCTGCTACATGGAAGCTAAGATTTTGCTTGATTCACTGACATTTAGGTTCCGCCGCCAGCATGAGCAACTGCGTGCTGTGATTGTTCGTGTTCTTCAGCCTCCTGCTGTCAGTCAAGCAACTCCCTCCAGTCCGGGTGGTCCCCCCAAAAATGTTGAGGATGAAGAGGCTAAGCCAGAAGCGTTGCTGGATCCAGCTGATGCTAATGCAATTCAGGAAGTAAACCTTGCATATGAGAATGTCAAGGAGGTTGATGGACTTGATGTGTCAAAAGAAGGTTCAGAGGCTTGGGAAGCTGCCATTAAAAGGTTGGTAAACTTTGTGGTTAAAATGAATTGATATTCAGCTTGTACAGTATACCTTGTCATCTTTCTGGAAGTGTATTGGCTTACCAAGTTTCTGTGTTATGAAGTAGGGAGAAAATGACCCAGATATTCAGTGTATTAGATTTAAAGGTCTGGGTTTTAGTGTTCACCACTCCATTGCATTGTTTTTTGAGACACATATTTTGCCCTTGTTGGTCAGGTATGATGAGCGCATTGACAGAGTGGAAACACGGATCACAGCTCGTTTGCGAGATCAGCTTGGAACAGCAAAGAATGCT